GTAAGGAGTGCGTTGCTAATTTTTGTTTCTTTTTAACGCCTTTAGCACTTCTGTGTGCAACGGCAGTAATGGAAAAAGGGAAAAACGGACAATTTCAGTCTGTGGCTGAAAACTGTCTCAGCCTGAAATTGTTACTCTTGGGTGATCTACAGATAATGAAAGATAAATGGATAAACGGATGGCTAAAGTGGAAGTACGGTATGGCATTTATGTTTCTCTTCATGCTCCTGTAGTTACAGAATAATACTAGTTATTATTCCCTAATTTACAAGAGTGTCTCATTTTGATTGTGCTGCAAAATCAAATGGAAGCTAAAACACAAAGCCAAAGTTTTAGAAGTGATTTCAGATTTTTATTACTGAAACTAAAACAGCCCGAAGTGGCTTGATTTTCAGAAACGATAGTTCATCTCTGAAGATCAGACAACTTTACTGTGTTTGGACTTGAGCCCAGATCAGCTGAAATACCCAAATCATTAGTCAATTTAAAAAATGTAGACCTAAGAATCCAATATTGATTCTCCTTTATAGGCTTGAATTTGCTTCCCAAATGCAAGGAGTAGGTGGACATCAGTGTGGGTTTGTGCTCAAGGGAGTGATGCCTACAAAAATCTACAAGGATGCGTAGCAGTTGCCTGTGGACATAAGACTGCCCAGAAGATAGCTGTCCTTAGTGATGCAGGAAAAATTATCGTGAGGTTTCTGCAATTCTTCCGTATTTATTACCCATAAAGAAAAAAAAAAGTCACATTTCCTTTTTAAGTGTAGACATTACTAGTTCATTTCACAATGTCCCTTTGGCAAAGTGATAACTGGTCTAGACAATAATGCCTGGAAAATTTGGAGAGATTGCTTCCGGTCACTTCACTGAATGATTAACTTCAAAGCCCTTTGTTTTCTCCTTAAGCTTATTACTTCAGTGTATTAAGCAGAGCAGACTGAGAAAGAAAATAGGTGTATAGTTCATGAATGTAAATCCTAGTGGGGACCCATTTATCCAGATTGTTTTGAGGACATCAGACAGATTTAGTTGATAAACAAATTACTTAGTAAATCATAAAAAAATCATGTGGTGGGACAAAAGGAAAACTCTCATGACCATTGTATAAAAAGGGGTTCTAAATCCAGAGTAGACTAATCTTATAGTGTGTGTTCATGAATATACAGCCTGTGTTCATATTTATATTTATGGTGTTATATGCCGCCTGCAGTGAAGAGCACGTACTTTTTAACATGTTTTAAGTAACTCGCTTTTCAGAGAGACTGCACACAAGGCCATCTCCTATTGTAGAATTAATTGTTCCAAATTGTTACTTTAGTAATGCTTATATAATATGCTGCTGTTGAAAGTGAACTTAAAGTAACATGGAAGTTATCTTCTAACCCATTAGAACTGAAGCATCTTATTTAGAAGTTGCTTATATTGGTTAAAGTACTTAATGTTATCTCTAATCAAGAGCTTGATTGATGATATTCAGAGGCTAGCAAATGCTAGCCTATCAGAAGTAAAACAAAACAAAAATGAAAAAATGCTAACAGCTAAGCAAGAGACCACAAAAGGACTTTTTACATACAGAGTGATCTGAGTTTTAAGAAATAAACAGTCATTTCCAACAGCATTAGCTAAGAAAAAGACAACGATTTACAACAACTGTTTTGTGGAAAGAAGAACAATTCAATTGGTGTAAGTGGAATAGCATTTAAATACATTAAAGGTGTAAGTTGGAAGCATGTTTTGGTTTTGAGACCTTAAAAGCCTTTGAGCTGAAAATGGGTGTATTTTTTAACTTAGCAGTAATAGAACACTGCACTGTTGCTTTAATTTGTCAAAGGATAGAACAGGTAGGTAGATTTAGATCTCTGTAATCGTGGTTTTCCCCAGCGTAACCCATTCTTCAGAAATTCAGTACTGGCAAGCATGTATGCAGCTTGGTTTCCGATTGAAAATGGTGCCCAGAATAATTGATATTCCATAGGAATCAGTTATATCTAAAAGTGTTGCAAAAGGAGGGAGCCTGGTCCTGCAAAGAGGACAGGACAGATAAGAAAGCAGATGAATTGGCTCAGAGTTCCTGCTACTTCTGTTATCTGTTTATTTATCACAGAACTTCTTTTTCTTGGTGAAACTTCTAATATATAAACACCTCCTGTCCTCTTTGGGACAGCTGACAGCTTTTGCTAGGGATATATTTCACAACGTGGTGTCAAGTCTGCTATCAGTAAGATTTTGAGTTGGATGACAGGTTAATTCAAGATCCCATACAATATTTCCAGAGTTTGTGTGAAAGTAAGCATGCTTCTTCTCATTTGATAGGAGAGTACTTAAATGGTAGTTACAGTTTCTGTGTTGGCAGGGGAGGCTTCACATTCTTGTCTGTATTTTTTTTCCTTCCTTTGCTACTTACAGTTCATTGTTATAAAACCAGGCAAACAAAGCCCCTTATCGCTGACAGGTCATGAAATAAAAAGCCAGAAAGCTAGTCCTGTACATCATTGCAGAACTGGACTTGATCTTCTCTGCAAATGAGAATAACAAGTCAAGTATTGGGGTTCAAGATCATGGGTGGCAAATGCCTGGTTATGGAATACAAACAGAAATCGTAGTTTAATGTAAAATATTTTGAAAGCTAAACAACTAACAAAAATTTGTTGCAAAAAATGACATAAGACAGTAACTATACTAGAGAAGGCTGGTAGCTGGGGTAGATGAGACACCAGACAGTTTTACTGCAACTAGTAAGTTAGTTTTACGGTCTACGTGTATTTGTCACAAATATGCCAACTTCACATCCAAGGAGTACAGATGTGAGTACTGAATGATAGAGCAAAGGGCACTGACACAAGTGATCCAGGGTATTTTGTTCAATACAGAACACCTTATTTCTCGGAAGGAAAAAGCTTTTTCTTTTGTCAGTTGCAAATAGACTTTATGGAACATGGGAAACAGTGAAGCTGCTTGCAAGTGTTTAGACCAGAAAGCGAGCTCAGATGCTGGTAGTCCCTAGCACGCAGGAACTGCCTTCTCTCTTGAATGACAAAAGCTAAGAAAAAATATTTATGTTCTCAGTGTCCTTTTTTTCTGAATATAAAACAGACTAGGCATAGATCTGAGCCTATGTAAGCCTTTGACAGCCATAGCATTCTGCCATAAAGAATTTCACAGCCTGACTATGGGTTGTATAGCGTAGTATCTGTGCAACTCCCACTGGATCATTTCATTCACTGCCTCTAAATTCTTGTACTGGAAGAGAAAAGGCACACCAGTCCCTATTTTCCTTCTCCATGTCACTCATTGACTTCTGTCATATCCCTCTTCCATTGTCTGTTTTCCAAGCTGAAAAGCTGATCTTTTAATTTTTCCTTGTTTGGAAGCCATACAAGGACCACCTTGCTGCCTTCTCTGTACCTTTTCCTTTATTGTTCATGGGGTGGTAGGTCAGAACTGTGTATGCTATTGAAGATATGGGGAAATCATGGGTATAGGGTGTATAGGGTGCCTTCGTGATGTTCTCTGTTTCCACGTCTGTTTAATTTCTAAGAATTCCTAACTGTGTTCTCAGATCACTGATGAGCACTGATTGCAACTTTCACTGAGCTTTTTATCATAATCCCAAAATCTTATTCCTTAGAAGCACTAGTCTCCTGAGAGTCCATCATGTACATGTAGTAGTATATTATTTTTTCCAAAATACCTTACCTTACATTTATCTAGATTGAATTCCATTCAGTTCCATTGAATTCCATGTTATCATTTAGTCATCTAGTATCCTGAGGTCCTTCTGCAATCTTCATAGTTTGTTCTTTTGCTTACTCCTGTGAATAACCTGGGAACAGATGCAGCAAAAAGCTTAATAGAAAGGTAATGCAGGCACTGTGACCACAAGGAAACTTCTGGCTCCTAGCTATCTCCCAGCTTCCTGCTCATTTGTTCTGGGGGGCTGAAAAAAGGGATGCTAATCTATCTGTTCCAGCCGTGAATTACTGGTTACTTAGCCACTCTGATCATTAGGGAAGCCCCTGGTTTCCCTCCCTGTCCTGTTGGATGAGTAGCAGGATCTACAGCCCTGGATCTCTGCAGTGGACATACAGTACAATTAACAATCAAGCCCTTCATTGGCAACCTCAGAGAGGGCATTCTTCAGTTGCTTTGGTGTGGAAACAGGACTGCCGATTTCTGATTACTCTTTTGAAATATATTGATGGCAT